AGAGACAGGTTAAGAAAAAGAGAGAGAGACAGGTTAAGAAAAAGAGACAGAGTTTTTCGTCTTGTACTCACCAGGGCAGAATCACCAGAATACTGCATTGCAAAAGGAACAATTTATAAAAGGAATGAGAAAAGGGTGCTGATTGGTTAGGATGCTGCCATGGAGAATGCACCAGGGAACAGTAAACTGCCAAGCTTTTAGTTAAATTCAAACCAGACCAAAAAGAAACCAACCCAGATTGGTTCAAGCATTGCCAGGGAATGGGTGCCTCTCAAAACTATAGATTGAGAAAAACTGCAATGAGAGGCTGAGAGAGAATATATACAGATTCTAGCAAGAGCAAGAGAGCTACTATGAGAGTCTGACTGATAATTTCAAGTTGGTTGTTAGTGTAATTCTTAGCACAATCAAGGTTGTTTAGAGCATAAACAGAAATTGCTGGAAAACTCAGCAGGCCTGGCAGCATCTGTAGGGAGAAAGCGGAGCTAACAAGATATGCTCACCGTGTTTAGAACATGTTGTTCAATTGCAGACTCGCACTTCAACATTGGCAACTTAACTTTCGCAAGCTTAGAGTAGCTCAACAGAGTCAATACTCTGGCTGTTGCAAACAGCCGGACAGACTTGTTTGGTTTGATCCACTTCTAGTGATGTCATAATAAAAGGGTCCTATTCTCATCTTTGTGGCTAGTCTTAGTAATGGTGGCCATAATAACTACGAAAACGCACATGGTTCACTGATGACCTTTAATAAAGGAAAATTTGTCATCCTATCTGGTTTGGTTCATGTGTGATTCCAGACCCACAGTAATGAGAGAGTGACTCTTGATTGCCCTCTGAAACGGCCTGGCAAGCCACTCAGATCAATGATAATTAGGGTTGGGCAACGAATTCTGATCTTGCCAGAGACAGCCACATCCTATTTAAAGAACAAAAACATACATTCTGTCACCAGTGAACCTGCTCATAAAACTTTTACCAGCTGCTCTGAAAAATGTTCAGTTACAAAAACAACAAAACTACACCACTTTCTCTTTCAAACTGAGTGACCCTGTAAAAAGGCATTATTACAGACACTAGGTTAGAGAGGTAGATAGTGGAAACTGCAAACAGCAAATTTGAAAACAACCGCTGGCAGCAATTTGAATTGACTGCTAGAACTAGTTTCATTCTAACTTAGATATCCTGTCCAGATCTTAAACTGAAATGCCATAGGAAGTGATGTCATAAAACCAAAACCACGGTATGTTAGCGAATTGTGCCTTACAATGCTGAGATCAAGCAAGATGAATCTATTCTAAATGAACAGTGAATACCATCCAGAACAATATAAATGTCATCACTGTCCCATAGAAAAGAGAGAGCGAGAGAGAGAAAAGACAGGATGGGGGCAAGAGAGAGAGAAAAAGAGAGCAAGAAAAGAATGACAGCATGAGCAAGAAAACTGGTGGTTTAACTTGAGGGTCGCTATGCCTCAGGCCATTGACGAGGTTGAGGAGCAGAAACCAAATCATTGTTAAAACAGGTAACCCAAACATGATGCAATCTAATACAAATGAACATAACTATATACACAGAAGATAAGGCTAAGAAATCAAACAAACAGTTCTTAATACAGTATGCACAGAGCACAAAACTCCAAAATTAAGGGAATAATCCAGACCGGAAGTTGAATGCATCATAGAGGCTTTTAGCTTCATGAAAACAGAGACCATCAATCTCGCCTGGTTAAAAGTTTACTTAAACCATAACACGAATTATAATCTTGTGTTGCTAAAACTTATACCTGCTTACAAATGCATACTAAAGGAAATGCAGCTTGATTATACAAATTTTATTTAACTGACTTACTAGACTCTAGAAGGTGGCATATCTCTCACATTAGAGTTACGCCATTTAAGTAGTGTTGTCAGGAAGCATTTCTTCCAACTAAATAGTGGATACCAGGAGTCTCTCCCTAAAAAGCTGCTGAGACTAGAATAATTATTAAATTCAATCATGAAATTGCTTAGTATTTTTTTAAAAAAGGTGAGAATATTAAAGGGCTATGAAACCCAGGGCAGCAAGATGGAGTTAAAAATCAGCCATGATCTATTTGACTGTTCCACCACACTCAGTGCTGATCCCATCCCATTACTGTGTACAAATGATTATGTAATGGATATTATGTAGAACTGTAGTATCAAAAAGTGGCAAGAGTGGCTATTGTACATAAAACAATGAATCCAAATCAACACATGAATCAATGCATTTCAAGGAATAAACTTTAAGATGAGCTGATAAATATCAGCCAAAAGTCATGTACTCTAGGACAGCTTCAATTCTCATTAGCAAAAAAAACATCAGAAGCTACATATGTGATGACTTCTTCAATCTCCATAATCTTCCAAAATTGAACATTACTGATCAAATCGAAGGAGTCCATATATAAACGTTTGAGGAAGGGTCACTTGTCCCAAAACATTAACTCTCCACAGATGCTACCAGACCTGCTGAGCATTTTTAGCAATTTCTGTTTTTGTTTCCGATTTACAGCATCCGCAGTTCTTTGTTTTTATTTCCCACTCTATTCAGTTCCTACTATACAGTCACCATTGGTATAGTCAAATTCCCACTTAACTCTGCCCATCACAAGAATAGCATAATTAAGTTGTGCCAGTTTGAAGAAAGCAACCGACTGGTTTGGTTTTTATGCTCCCTTATGCAGAGTTTCTAACAACTGCTGCTTCCAATAGTTGCATACACCATTGGAACAGGTCCAATTTGGTCAAAAATCTCCTAAAGAGTGTGAAAACGTGGAAATAACAAGGCTGCAGAAGCAAGTGGCTGAGTATTCAGTCCTAAGGGAACTTTTTCCTAGGACTTATGGATACAAATCACACTGCACTTTCAGATGAGCTCACTGTCAAGATTATGGACAACTGGCAAGGAACAAAGAAAACTTGATTCTTAAGAGCACCTAATGCATATTCAGTCACATGCTGAAGATACCACAAGTACTTTCTTTTGCCAGAGACAGGCTTTAACTGTTTTACGAGCTTCCATGTGGAAATGGGCACACCCAGCTTGTAAACTAAGATAGAACTAATTGTTTTGTCTCAAGAATTTTCTTGGGTTCTCTCTACAGAGCAAGCCAAGCCCATTAGACAATGACACAATGATTCCCAAGCCTGTACTTTGGCCAGAGTCTCAGCATCTAATTTAAACAAATATGCTATTGACTGCTCCATTAAATGGCCTCCAAATAAAATTTGCAGGAATAAAAAGCATTAGACCCTGACATGGGATAAGTGAAAAGTGGACTCACGTGGAGGTGATGGTTCGAAATCGTTCTTGCCCAGCTGTATCCCAGATCTGCAACTTTACTTTCTCTCCATTGATTTCCACAGTTCTTATTTTAAAATCTACCCCTATCGTAGTAATATAGCTGCCTGTGAACATAAAAAAGGAAAACAGTATAATTGCTCAACATTCAACACAGAATGTTCTCACTTATGCTGCAAATGGAGATAGCCCTTAGCACAGTGCGGAAACTAGCCTTGGGCAACACATCTTCAATTTCAAAACAAAGCTGGAGAGAGGAATTAGGCCTTCTACTCAGCATCTTCAGATTGCAGCAGGATTTTTCATTAAGTGTTGTGGTTACATAACTAGTGTTCCATTTCACCTATGTGCCATACAAACAGGCTTAAGCCGTTCAAAAATAACTAAAGTTGGGCTGCTGATGACAGGTCAAAGCAACACTCCATCAAGGCTGCACAAAAAGAAAACAAACTGGGCAGATGTTACACTGAACATTACGTAGGGAGGGAAAGCGAGAGATGTTCAGTTCACCTCAATATTTCCTACCAAACTGGAGTTCCTCCCAGCAGCAAAATAAAAAATGAGAACATATTCCTCTGTGTGGCATCTGTGTGAAGTTAGAATTATCGAAAGATCTTTTGAATATGTGGTACGATTTCTGGAGAACGTGTACCAGGACTGACAATACTCAAAACGGAAAAGAGAAGAATTTACTCTCCCAAAATATCAGCATGAGCAATAAATCAGGTATAGGAAGTACTGAAAGGAAACAATTTACAGACCAATAGGACACCCAACTCACTCCCATACATTTGTCGTATTGTCGTAAAAGCAGGTTCTTCCTTACTTCTTTGGGAATGGTGTGGGGCCATGGGGAAAAAAAGGGAGAAAATTGGCAAAAGTACAAAGAAAGGGTCAAATTACATGGGACAGAACTCACTGAGAAAACAAAACCTATAATAGCCTGTTGCTGTATATTGTAAGCACTACGATAAAAGTGGATTGTAAAAACATGCACAGTAGTTATCTGCATGTGGGAGTATAAAGCAGTAAGTGCTAATATCAAAAATGCACTAATTGCACAGACTAATGTACTTACAACATGACAATCTCAGTCATTTGTGACCTCTACAGTGTGAGTGTGCGCATTTAAATGTGTCACTCTCTCTAATGGAGGTCAAGCAGTGCCTCAATAATGGTCTCAAGAGGGCTGAAGTTCATAGTCTAAACTCTGATCAAGTAGCTATCACTAAACTTCACACGCACAGTACAAGAGATTCAAATGCAGCAAGACCAGGTCTTGAACTAAGACCCCATCCTTCAGATACCAGTAGAACACAGGTAGCTAGATCTCTTGCTGCTGCTACTATTCATGGTATTTTTTTAAAAAAGCCAAACCTGTTCCGATTGTCATTTTCTAGTTCTACATCACAACAGTGACTACATTGCGAAAGTACTTGGTTGATAACATAAAAAAGGCCTTAATAGATGCAAGCATTTTTTTCATATTGATTCATATACAATAATAACCCTAACTCAGACCTTGACCCACACGGACAAGATTTAAAGCAGCACAAGTCCCATTAGCCAGTTCAGATGGGTGTGAAAGATCCCATGGCAGTATTTCAGAGGACTAGTAAGTTCTTCCAGTACTATTGCAAACATTTTTCCCTCAACCTGTGCTTTCCTTTCATCACTATCTGTACTCCTTTCTGCCCCGTTACCCATACTCTAATTTTTAAAACAAATTTCAATGGCATCAATATCTTTGTAATTGAGAGTTGTGATAATGAAAAGCATCCTATAAAATGAAAGTCCTCTTGCTTCATGCAAGTTGTAAGAGATATCAGACTTAACTGTCAAAAACAAAATGAACAAACAGGACAATGATGTGCGTGGACGGCTAACAGTTTTATAGTAATAACAAAGGAGGATTGAGGAGGGCAGAGCGGTGTATATGATCTACATGAACTTCAGTAAGGCATTCAACATGGTTCCTTATGGTAGATCAGTTAGTGAGATTAGATCACATGGAATACAGGGAGAACTAGCCATTTGGATACAGAACTGGCTCGAAGGCAGAAGACAGATGTTGGTGATGGAGGTTTGTTTTTCAGACTGGAGACCTATGACCAGCAGTGTACCACAAGATCAGTGCTGGGTCCACTGTTTATCGTCATTTATGTAAATGATTTGGATGTGAACATTGGCGGTATGGTTAGCACGTCTGCAGATGACGCCAAAACTGGAGGTGTAGTGAACAGCAAAGAGAATTACTTCAGAGTACAACAGCATCTTAAATCAGATGGGCCTCTGGGCCAAGGAGTGACACATGGAATTTAAATTTAGATAAACTTGAGGTGCTGCATTTTGGAAAGGCAAATCAGGGCAGGACTTATACATTTAGTAGTAAGGACCTCAGGGGTGTTACTGAACATAGAGATCTTGGAGTGCAAGTTCATTGTTCCTGGAGAGTGGAGTTGCAGGTAGATAGGACAGTGAAGGGACGGTTTGGTATGCTTGCCTTTATTGGTCAGTGTCTTGACTGTTGGAGTTGGGAGGTCATGTTGCGGCTGTACAGGACATTGGTTAGGCCACTTTTGGAATACTGCGTGCAATTCTGGTCTCCCTGCTCTAGGAAAGATGTTGTGAAACTTGAAAGGGTCCAGAAAAGATTTACATGAAATGTTGCCAGGGTTGGAGGGTTTGAGCTATAAGGAGCATCGGAGGCTGAGGGGTGACCTTATAGAGGTTTATAAAATCATGAGGGGCATGGATAGGGTGAATAGACAAGGACAAGGACTTTTCCCTGGGGTGGGAAGATTTAAAAAGGGACCTAAAAAGGAGCAACTTTTTCCACACAGAGGATGGTGCGTGCATGGAACAAGCCGCCAGAGGAAGTGGTGGAGGCTGGTACAATAATGACATTTAAAAGGCATCTAGATGGGTATATGAATAGGAAGGGTTCAGAGGGATATATGGGTCGAATGGGACTAGATTAATTTAGGATATCTGGTCGGCATGGACGAAAAGGGTCTGTTTAATGTGCTATACAACTATGACTCTACTCAACTCTCCTGAAACTTTTTTAAAAAGAAAAATTCTACTGGCAGCCAGACCCAGCAAGTTGATAATCACAAACTGGCACAAACTATGGGATTCTCACGCAATCCACTTCCTCACAGTTGCGTACACACAAGTTTCACATCACCAAGACAACTTAATTAGCTAGGAGTGCTTGTGACTCAGTACAATAGCAGAAGTGAGATGGTGATAATTTCAACAGTAGAATGGCTTGAGAAGGATAAGGATCCAGCAGTAGACTTGAGTGCCACAGACTGAATTTAATGGAAATTGATGAAAGAATTAACTGAGTATTCAAGATTTGGAAAGTAAAGAACAAAAATAAAAAGACTAAAAACACTTAATTATATAGTGTCTCCAACATCCCATAGCACATAGAGAATTACTCAAAGCATAATCACTTTTGCAATATAGAAATCCTGGCAGCTAATTTGGGCACAGTAATCACTAAACGGCAATGTGAAAATGACCAAATAATTTTTTAGTGTTACAGACTGATGGAAAAATAATGGCCAGTTCAAATCAAGCAGAATCCTGTTCTTCTTCAGAACAGTACATTGGCAAATTGTTTCTCAGAGAGGGCAAACTGAGGGGTCTCAGTATCTTTTCTCCCCCACATTCTTTCATAGGATGTGGGCATGACTGGCAAGGTTAGTCATTTGCTGTCCATCTCTAAATACCCCAGAACTAATTGGCATGCTCAGCCACTTCAGAAGGCAGTTAAGAATCAATCACATTGCTGTCTGGGAGTATAGAATCACACAGGCCACACCAGGAGGAAAGGAAATCGGCTATAAAAGAGACATGAGTGAAACTGATGAGAGAGTTTCATTAAAATAATTAATGGATAATAGATTAATGGCACCATTACTGAGACTAGCTTTATATTCCAGATTCATTAACAGTATTTAAATGCCACCAGTTGCTACGGTGGGGATTTGAACCCATGTACCCAGAGCATTAGTCTGAACCTGTAAATCGCTAGTTCAGTCGCTTGATCATTACGCCTATTCTGCTGCAGAGTCTCAGCTTGGAAAGCAACCTCAAGTTGCAGTGAAACTTTAACTGACAACTTACTAACTCAGGAGGAATGTATTACCATGAACAACGGCCCGTAGTAAATAGAGGGTTGGCAAGAGAAAAGCACCTTGAGAAACAAAGAAATCATGAAAACAGAATTGTTGCAAGATAAAAATGTGAACATGATATACAAAAGAATGCTTACCAGAAAATGTGTTATCTGCAAATCGCAGCAGCAGACTGCTTTTCCCCACACCTGCAAAGACAGAGCAGGACAGTCAAGAGAACAGTACCTGATCAAATAAAAACAGTACACTTACTGGAATGAGAAGTTCACTGATAAGCCCTCATTCAACTACAAATGTGGGAGGGGGCTGAAGCAAGATTACAAAAGGTTCAATACATCGGAAGTGAAAATGTACAAGTACACGGCTTGGCAAAGAACAGAACAAGAATAAGAATGAAAAGGAAGCTTCAATTTTGCATCATTTCCATGGTGACAAACACGTGCCATGAAAAAGCAAAACAGGAACCTGGCCACAGAAAATAGACAATGCCAAATCAGCTGTGGATTGGCAGGGAGTGAGTATCTGTTGCAAATTATCCAAAAACCAATATCCAAAGAGGATTGATACTTAAGAGACAAAAGTGATTGAAAATGGAAAGCAATAGTAAATGTGCTATTTGGGGCCTAATAACTGCTTTCTGCTGGTTTCAAAAAGGAGATTAAAACAATTTTTTATGAGCCAACTACAAATCCATGCTCATATAAAAGCATGAAAAGAATGAAAAAAAAAACAAAAGATGGTGGAGAAACTCAGCAGCTCTGGCAGACCTTCTGGAAGAGGGTCAGTGGATCTGTACGTTAACTCTGCTCTCTCTCCATAGGTGCTGTCAGATTTGTCGGGTTTCTCCAGCAATTTATGTTTTTGTTTCAGATTTCCAGCATGTACAGATCTTTGTCTTTAAAAAAAAAACACTATCACATTTATTAAAAAGCAAAATAACTAAGTGCAATTTTCACAGTTCTCCCATACGTGTTGAGTATTTGAAAAAAGTTTGATTTCTCACATAGGGGAAAACAGCTTAAAATCATTCAACACGACAGATATATATGATCTCACATTACAGATGTTTAAACATGAACAACTTTACTGTAAAAAGTGTTTTGGGGAGGGAGGTCCTGGGAGTACAGTAAAGCACTATAAATGCAAAATTCTATTTTCGTGGAGATCTGTAGCTCAGGTTATAGCTGGAATCGTTGGTTGGTTTGCGCAAACGTTTCATCCCCCTTCTAGGTTACATCTTCAGTGCTGTCTAGCCCCTGTTGAAGTGCTATTGCTTTGTTCTATTCTGAATTTACATGATCCGCTCTGTTATGGTGGGTCGTTCTGTTTCCGGTTTTGCTCTGTAGTGATATGTAGATGGGGTCTATTTCAACATGTTTATGGTACCAATGGTTGAAAACCAGGCTTCCTCTTGGAATAATGATAGCACACAAACCAACAGCCACATTTTGCCAGCTACTCTCAAAGACCAAAGACCCCATACCCACAATGAGCAGGACAAATGTGATATACAAAATACTATGCAGCAACTGCGAGAAGCAATACATAGGACAGAAAAGCAGGAAACTCGCCACCAGGATACACGAACACCAACTCGCTGCAAAACAGCACGACCAACTCTCCCTTGTTTCTATTCACTCCAAAGAAGGATAATCAGTTAAACTGGGACAAAGTAACAGTACTAGAACAAGCAAAAGAATTCCTGGAAGCCTGGTTTTCAACCACTGGTACCATAAACAAACATGTTGAAATAGACTCCATCTACATATCACCACGGAGCAAAAATGACCCACCGTAACAGAACAGCAGCACTTCAACTGAGGCGAGACAGCACTGAAGAAGTCATCTAGAAGAGGGGCAAAATGTTTGCACGAAAACCAGTCAGCTTGGTGAACCAACCAATAACTCCATGCAAAATTTTAACAAGCCGAGCAGTCGCCTTGGTTTAAAAATAAGTGCAACGTCTCCAGCTCAGGAAAAGACAAGCCAAACATCCAGAAAGGGCTCTGTTTGCCAAAAGGTAGACTTGAATTGAAACAGCTAATCACGTATGAACTTGTTATCGCAACTATTTCCAGCATACGTACATTGCTCCCTTTGCCGTTTTACCAAAAGGAAGTCTCTTCAACCTGGGACCAACAAAATGATCCTTCGCCAGAGAATACTCAAATGCTGTCACTTCTTTGTACCCACCCAGATTCTTCACATTAAAAATGTGAGTCATTGTTGCAACGTAGGTTGCAAATTTTTCATCACTTGTGCACTGAAAATTATCAACTGACATACATTAAAGACAAAGTCTCAAAGAAACAAAAAAACTGGACAGATCACCTGCATCGATCTACGTACTGGAACTGACAACAGCAGAAACAGCCTTGTCAACCCTGCAAAGTCCTCCTTACTAACACCTGGGGGCTAGCACTTAAATTGGAAAAGCTATCTCACAGACTAGTCAAGAACCTGACAATCATACTCACAGAATCACACCTTACAGACAACATTCAGGGATGGCGGTGTCTGGGATATGTCCTGTCTCACCAGCAAGACAGACACAGCAGAAATGGCAGCACCATGGGTGCTCCGAGAGTCCTCAGCATTGACTCGGGACCCCATTAGTCTCATGGCTTCAGGTTAAAACATGGGTAAGGAAACCTCCTGCTGATTACCATGTACCATTCTCCCTAGGCTAATGAATCAGAACTGCAATGTTGAACAACACTTGGAGGTTGGCAAGGGCACACAACGAAATCCCCCACCCAGAGTACAATGTCCACCACTGAGTGGTTCCACAGTAGTACTACTGATTGAGCTGGCTCAGTCCTAAAGAGCATAACCGCTAGACTGTGTCTGTGGTAGATAGGAGGGCACCAAGAGGGAAAAACATACTTGACCTCATCCTTAACAATCTACCAGCTGCAGACGCATCTGTCCATGACAGTATTGGTAAGAGAGTGACCACCGCACAGTCCTTGGAGACAAAGGCCAGCCTTCACATTGAGAATACCCTCCATTATGTAGTGTGGCAGTATCACAGTGCTAAATGGGACAAACTTTGAACAGATGTAGTAACTCAAGACAGGGCACCCATGGAGGTGCTGTGGGCCATCAACAGCAGCAGAAGTGTACTCCAGCACAATCTACAACCTCATGGCCCAGCATATTCTCCTACTCAACCATTACCATCAAGCCAGGGGATCAACCCTGGTTCAGTAGAGAGGCAGGAGGGCATGCCAGGAGCAGCACCTGGCATACCGGAAGATGAAGTGTTAACTTGTGAAACTACCAAACAGAACTATTTGCTGCTAATGATGATGTTTGGTATGCAAGTGATAGAGCTAAGTGAGCCCACAACAAATGGAACAGGTCTAAGCTCTGAAGTCCCACTTATCCAGCTGTGAATGGTGGTGGACAATTAAACAACTGACTGGAGGAAATGGCTCCACAAATAACCCCATCCTCAAACAATGGAAAAACCCAGCACATCAGTGCAAAATGCAAGGCTGAAGCTTTCACATCAATATTTGGCCCGAAGTGCTGAGTGGATGATCAGTGGACCCCAGCATTACAGAAACCAGTCTTCAGCCAATTAGATTTACTCCACGTGATATCAAGAAGTGGTTGGAAACACTGGATACTGCAAAGGCTATGGGTCTGACAACATCCTGGCAACAGTACTGAAGGCTTGTGCTCCAGAATGTGCTGCTCCCCTAGCCAAGCTCTCCCAGTACAACAAACACTGGCATCAAGCCAACAATGTGGGAAATTGCCCAGGTATGTCCTATACATAAAAAGCAGGGCAAATCCAAAGCAGCCAATTACCACCCAGTCAGTAAAGTGAAGGAAGGTATCATCATCAACAGTGCTATCAAGAGCACCTGCTCAAGTGGTGCCCAGTTTGGGTTCTGCCAGGGCCACTCAGCTCCTGCCCTCATTACAGCCTTGGATGAAAGAGCTGAATTCCACATGGTGAGGAGAGGGTGAGCCCTTGACATCAAGGCTGCATTTGACTGAGTGGGGCATCGAGGACCCCGACCCCTAGAATCAATGGAGGCCTACTCTCTGCTGGTTGGATTCGTACCTGGTAGGCAAGCAGGAGATCACGGCTGTTGGCAGTCAGTCCATCTCTGCAGGAATTCCTCAGGGGAGTGTCCTAGGCCCAACCACGTTCAGTTGCTTCATAATGACCTTCCTTTCACCATAAGACAAAAAAAGTGAGGACGCTTGCTGATGACTGCACAATTCTCAGCACCATTTGTGACTCCTCAGATACGGAGGCAGTCCACATTCAAATACGACAAGATCTGGACAATATCCAGGCTTGGACTGACAAGTGGCAAGTAACATTCACGCCACACAAATGCCAGGCTATAACCATCACCAAATGAGACAACCTAACCACTGTCCCTTGACATTCAATGGTGTTACCATCACTAAATCCCCCTGTTGTCAACATCCTGGGGATTACGTTGTTCAGAAACTCAACTGGACTGACCACATAAACAGTGGCTACAAGAACAGGGCTGAGGTTAGGAATACTGCAGTGAGTAACTCACCTCCTGGCTGTGGAAAGCCTATCCACCATCTACAAGGCACAAGTCTAGCTTGTGATGGAATACTCCCCACTTGCCTGGATGAGTGCAGCTCCAACAACACTCAAGAAGGTGGACACCAGCCAGGACAAAGCAGCCTGCTTGATTGGCACTACATCCACTCCCTCACAGCGCCAACACTCAGTAGCAGCAACAGTATATACTGCAGAAAATCAAAGATCCTTAGACAGCACCTTCCAAGCCTACAACCACTTCCATCTAGAAGGACAAGGGCAGCAGATACACGAGAACACCAATCACTGCAAGTTTCCCTTGAAGCCACTTATCATCCTGAATTAGAAATAGATAGTCAGTCATTCTGTTGCTGGGTCAAAATCCTGGAATTCCCTCCCTAACAGCATTGTGCATCAACTCACAACAGGCAGACTGCAGCGGTTGAAGAAAACAGCTCACCGCCACCTTCAAGGGCAACTAGGCAACAAAAATGCTGGCCAGCCAGCAACATCCACGTCCCACAAGAAAAAGACAGCCATTTAACAGTCAACACATTCAATATGGCATTGAATAGATTCACTGTTTCAAAGGCACACTAGTTGCAAAGTTCAAGACTATTGGGACACAACAAGCTGTGGATTAAA